ATTGATCACACCTCTCACATTCTTGACAGGTAACAACATGATGTGCTTTACATCCATCTTAAACGTGTAGATGTTTTTGAAGCTGTCGTGCTTAGTTTTATGGTCGAACTGTCATAGTCTCCCTAGTTGAATGTGGCATGCGTCCACTAGAACTTCATTACATCAGACATGCTCTTGTAGTTTATCGCTAATTGAGAATTTGACTAAACATTTACTGATCTACATGTATCTCTTTCCACTTTTCCAGCCAGGTGAGAGAACAGGATCACAAATATTTTTGTGTAGTTAATGCCAACGTATTCACCATTAGCGTGGACACGTGCAACTTTCACCATTGATGGTCAAACTGCAGCCTTTGCTTTTCACCGTACAAGTGGTGCGAAAGATGTGCCTCGGCCATAACGGGTCTCCTTTTGGTTTTGACTGTAGGACCCTCTATATAGCCAATATTTTTGCTTCATCTCTAGAAAGTTGAAGTGCTTCTTCTGAACTATCCTTCGACGTTGCTTCCTCGATTTTGTCGACGACGCCTTCATCCGTGAACAAGACAACACGATATGTGGGATAGTTGGCGGCGATGTGGCCGAAGTCGTAGCACCTAAAGCATTTTCGGGAAGGAACTGTGTCAGATGACTATCGCTCAAAGTGGTCTTCTCGCTCCCCGACTCGGCGTTTCCTGATTTGGTTGTCTTGTCAAAAGGTGTGGTTGTAGGTGATGGCTTGAATGTGGACTACTGTTGGAAGTAGGATTGTGATCTGGCTTGCTTTTGCCTTTCTACTTTTAAGGCTAGGGTTTGGACATCGCCCAACGTCCAGTAGGGTTGTAGTTGAACAAAATTGTTAATGGTGGGCTTCAGGACTGCCAAGTAACGGGCGACCGTGTGTTCCTCTTGCTCGACTAACTCGCTCTTCATTTGTAATTGGTTAAACTAAATCGTGAACTCCTCGACTGAAATATCTCACTGATGCAGGTTGTAGAGTCTAAGAAACATCTCCTGGCGGTAATGGGGTAGTAGGTATTTCTCCTGCATAGTTTTTTTCATGTTTGCCCACTGGGTTATCTTGTCAATATCATCTCTTCTTCGTTGTCGCTGCAGTTTTTTTCACCATAATGAGGTGCTTTTCTCAATTTGATAGCGACTAATCCTGTTATTCTCAGGTAACTCCTTATATTCAAAGATGCGTTCAACCGCTTGCAACCACTCAATGAAGTCATCGGGATCCATGCCTCCATCAAACTCCGGTTAGTTCGTCTTGATGTCGAAGTCTCGGTGTGCGCCAAATGTGGGCTCCTCTCGTGGTTTCCTTTGATAGTAAATTCCGAAGCAGCGTGGTTGATATTCATCGTCATTGATGTCTTCACGGTGATACGGATTCATATCGGCGTTGCGATCTCCTCTTCCACTCTCGAGATTGCGGTCGAGGGTAACGTCGCCTTGGGTCCTATTGTCCAACTCAGCCATTTGTTGTTGCAAGCAGCAGATCTCCTGATGTATTTCTTCGCGAGTTAGATTTGGCACGTATTGTGCGTCAGCATGACTGGGGTTTGATTCGAAAGGGGATGATGGAAGGAAAGAAACGAGAAAAAGGAGGAGAAGACAAGAAAAGAAAGGGAAGGAAGAGGAAAAAAAGTTGGGTGGCTTGTGTGAAAGCGGATACAACAGAATTCTAGGGTAGGACTAGGGTTGAACTAGCTCTGATACAAAAAGAAAAAAAAATTTGGGTCGCTAAACCTGACATTCACACCCTAGTGGGTAGATCACCTCTTTTCAATTCTAGTCACTGCTAACTCTTCCTACAGCCACCAGTAGGCCGCCAACCACCAATTGCCCGCAACCCCCCCCAAACAACCAAAACGCCTCTTCCCCGACGTCTCACGCAACCGCTCAAGTAAACTCCTCTTCACCCCCCCGCCAGATCTGTCGCCTTGATAGAAAGAGTTGTTTCTGTCTTTTGTTATTTATGTTTGCTTTTTTATTTTGGCATTCGCCTTGTTATCTACACTTTGTTGTTGTTGTCGAGTCGTCCTTATACTATTTTGCAATCAGCAATAAAATGTGTCTTTTAAGTCGTGGTTAATGCTGAATCGACACGACGTTGGCTCTCTTTCACTTGAAGCTTCTTGGTAGAAAGTGTTTCATTCATCTTCTTTATCTGGGTGGTCACCATTGTTGTTGTTAGTGACTTCCCCATACTGCATTCTTTCAAAATCAGCGAACCTCTGCTATAATTGAAGGATTTCTTGTTGTTATGTCCTCCATAGTTGTTTTCAGAGCGCCTCGATGAGTATTTCTTCTTGGCAACATAGCATCTTGTTCTTCTGAGCGAGACTCCGACTGACTCTGATACCAAATGCATCGTTCAAGGGTTATTAGAAGGTGTGATAGAACACGAGGAGTTAGGGAAGTTGTAGGATGGATAGTGGGAGTGTGAGAATGGATGGTGGCTGAAAATCATTGTGGCAGGAGCAGGACAGTGAGCAAGAAGCTGGAAAACGTCTGTTTCCTACTGTAAACAGCAGGGGGCGGTGAGTCTGACGGCTCATCGACTGAAAACAGCTAGCAAACTGTGGGTGGACGGTGAGGGGATTCCATCTCCTATTATTGGGCAAGCTACAGACACACCACTTGTACTCTAAAGAGCAGAAAATCAAAGAGAAGTCTCAATTCATAAAATCAGTAAAACTAAAATTCCAAACAGCCCAATACATATAAGATTTTCCTAATAGGAAATACGTAATTAGAAATTTGAGAAATATGTAAGAACAAAAAAGAGAAAAAACATCGAATTGTAGGAAATGAAGAAAAGAAAAGAAAATGAAATAGAAACAAAATAATAGAGATGCTCTCGGTCCTGTCTCTCACGATCGCAGAATCTGCAAATAATGGAACTTTGGGAGCTTTGCATCCGTCGGGATGACCCACAGAAGCAGTGCAACTTGGATGGCTAAGTCACCTGTTTTCTCCTTGTGATGATGATGACAATGGTTTTCTGTCTTCCTCCTGAAGATTTAGGGCAAAGAGCAATTTTTCAGTTTTCTTGTAGCTATTTTTCGTTAACACCACGCGCCAAGCTTCTTCTAAACCCAGTGTTCTATAACAACTTGACTCAAAAATCTCACTAGGCACTGATAATAAATCTAACCAACAGGTTGAGCTAGCTGAATAGCTTTAATCTGGATTTGCTAATTTGGTAGGAAAAAAATTTAGAAAACTAGGTAAAATACAGAGTAAGAAGAAACTTACTTTGAATGTCTGTCTTTTCTCTAATCCTACTTCTCTCAATCTCCTAGAGTAGTACTTTTTCCTCTCTTTATGCAACAATCCCTTTTTCTTCAGCAACAAACATTTATATAGACAGAGAATGCTGATTATAAATAAAAGCTAATACCACGTCAACTTTAGAATGAATATATTATAAGAAATAATGATTATAGCTGTGTTAAATTACCAGGATAGGACATTGCCTTTTCTTGGATAATGGAGCCAAGCTGTCATTATAACTACTTAACTAATGTTTTCTTGTTCTCAAAGTCACTCAACTCTCTAGATAATCTTAGAAAGATCTTTTCTGAGTTCCTCTTAATCTCTTCTATTCTTCTCAGTTTTGGCAAACTTCTCTTATCACGGTACCAGTCCTTTTGGGATTACATTTGACAACATTGCAAACTTATTAGAATTGTCTGATGCATCTTCTTGACAAGTCAACTGATTTCTTGATCAAAAGTAGGTAGATATCATTATTTGACGTAACATTGTTCCGAAGGATGATTAATACAACTATAGTGAGAGTAAGAATAGAAGGGCTTTCCTCTACTTCCACAATAGTCTTCAATCTGGCCTCCACAACCATCATAATGCTTGAAATTGAAAATAGTCTAATTATAAATCGATGGAGAGGGAGACAATGTCTCTGATGTTTTAAGGAACATGAGAAAAACTATTTGTAGATTGGGATTCATAGAATCTGCCATCATCTAAGACTATGGATGACGTTCAAAGAGAAATGTTGCAACTGGAGGTTCCACATTTTTTTGTTATTAGACATTTGGATTTATGGTAAATGTTTTCGCACTTAAGTTTTAGGATGCTACAATAGTTCTAAATGAACTAATCATTATGATGTAGACTAGCTAAGTCAAGTACAATGTACATGCATTGGTAATATTATTTTCTTGGAATAAGTGGACTGGAGAAAATTCCTTTCCTTTCCTTTTTTTTCTTTTTTTCTTTTTTTTTTTTTTTTTGAAATCTCATGAAATATGTCCATTTAAGAAATGGAAAGTTTGAGACTATTGAGCGTCCAATCAAGAAAATCATAATAAGATGCTCATCATTTGAAAATTTTGGCTCTTTCATTGTGAGCCGCAGGAGATGCATCTCGATGAGAGGGTTTGTGTGTGAACTAACAAGAGAATGAAAGGTGCTTGATCACAATTGGTAATTGATACCATTGAATTTGATTGTGATACTGATGGTGGATGTTTTCAAATAGTTTAGAGGACTGAAAATCCATGATATTGTGTGAGTTAAAGTTGGGCTAAATGAGAAAGAATTCAAATCATTTAGAAAGATTCTACCTTAAGTAGTGGCAAGGTTCAGTGAGAGAAATGGATGCCTATGGTGGTATCTTCCTGCGCAAAGGAAAATAGAGATAGGGTTGCAGACAAACCAAAGGCAATCATTATAGGCAAGAACAAGTACACAGGAGACTAGTCACCCAGGTGAGATCAAGGTAACTTGTGCAGGTGGAGGGCATCTTCGATTCTTTTATCTATGGCTCCATCAGTTGCTTTCCTAAAAGTTTCATTTTCTAAAAGAGGCTGTGGGCAGGGATTGGGCATTTCATGTTTACTGAAAGATTCAATTTTTTTCTCATTCAACAATAAGGATCCTCTCTCTCTTTTTCTCTTATTTACTTCATTCTCATATGAAATTATTTGTTAAGTGATTCTACTGTTCTCTTATACAATTTGTTTTCTTAATCAAACTTAATTGCAGTGAAGAGGCTGATACTGGATTTAGTCATCAGACTCCAATTCTGCAAGGCCAAGCAAAAATTGTCCGCTATTTTCCAATGAATCTGAGGTGTAATAATGAATCTTTTTAAATATTAAAAAGGCTTCTTAAGAGTAGTGCCATAATCTTTCCATTAATGCAGGACCCTGGATGTTGCAAAGTCTATCATAAGGGATTTGAAGTACGTGCATGTTGATGATAAAATTTTTCATGTCTCTGAAGCTAATACACTTGAAAAAGTAAGACCTTTTTACAATTTATGTTTAGGGTGTTCAACTTGTTCGTCATTCCCGGATAAGTAAAAACACTTAGTTTGCAACAGCTTTGTCTTGACGTTTAACTTGCTTTAATTTGTTTTAATTTATAAGTGGATATGAAGTAGCACTCCATGTAAATTGCAATTGTGACTCTTTGGTTTGCTGATATTAGTTACCTAACGTTATGTTACTAACAGAAGCCAATTATTTGTTTTAATGGTATCTTTAAATAATTGTAACATGTAAGTCCTATTTTGAGATCAATCAAATATACCGACATCTAGATGTCACACTATCAACAACAACAACAACAACAACAACTAACCCTTAATCCCACTACGTGGGGTCGGCTAAATGAATCATTTTTCTCCATTGCGTCCTATTTAGTGTGTGTTCTGAAAACGATTATTGTATTTCCACTCATTTTGCCGCTAAAATCATTGTAATTACATTCACAAAAATTTTAAATGGATTTGTGTTGGCTTAAAGTACATATTGATTTCTAAATTATCATTTTTTAAAACATGTTTTATAACTTCAAGCGAACAGATCGGGCCATAAATAACATTGTTATCTATCAAAAATAGTGTATTTGGTTCAATATTATTTTACTGAAATTAAATTATGTTATCTAAGAAAGATCAATTATGATTATGAACTTTCTTTTCATTTACAAATGAAAAGAAAGTTCATAATCATATTTGATCTTTCTTAGATAACATAATTTAATTTCAGTAAAATAATATTGAACCAAATACACTATTTTTGGTAGATAATAATGTTATTTATGGCCCCATCTGTTTGCTTGAAGTTAGAATTAAAAAAATGACAGTTTAGAAATCAATAGGTACTTTAAGCCAACACAAATCCATTTAAAATTTTTGTGAATGTAATTATAATGATTTTAGTGGCAAAATGAGTGGAAATAAAATAATCATTTTCAGAACACATACTCTTTCTACAAGCAACCAAATGCACCCTAAATTATTTTTTTTTTGTCTAGATAGCACTATTATCTACATAACATTGAACCAGATAACCCTTTAAATGATTTGGATTTGTATAATGATGGGTAGAAGATGCACTAGTAAGATAGGTAAATTGAACCAATGTAGAAGGAATGAGATAGAAAAGGGAAACTAGAAATTGTGCAAGAAGGTTTGTGTATATTAAAGTTTAGACTCTTGATTTAGCAATATCCTGTGATTTTCTAATGTTGAACCAATACTCCAAGAAATGAGAAGAAAACTTAGTTCCCTATAAAAGTGGAGTCACCAAGTCACAAATAGATTTCTTCTCTATCTGAAGGAAGGAAAACCTTTGTAAATATTCTAAAACAATTTCAATAGAAAACTTGATACCATAACATTTCGTTGTAGTTATGTATATATATTTTAAGGGTATAAAAATAATTTAAAAAATTATGGCCCTAAGATAAGATGTTGGATTTGAAAGGTGAGGCATTATTAATTTTTCAAAATTGATTCTTAAGAGAGGCAAGATAAAAACCTTTTGGTTGAGTTAAACTTAAATGTGTGATGAGTTAAATAAATTTATGAAGAGAATTACTATAATTGTTTGTGTGCTATAAGGCATAAAGGTGTGTGACTCGGGGCTGAGATGCGCGCGAAACGTGAGAGGCGAGCAAGATGCAAGTGGGACACGAGCCAGTCTTGGAGGATCTGGTCCAGCTTTTTGCAGTTCTGTTAGACTGGTCGGCCTTCTAAACGCAGGATTGTTGCTCACACCTCCTCCTTCCGCTACATTCCTTTCCCAGCCTTCCCTATTTCCCTATTACCGCTTTTTCCTCCTTCCTCCCTTCCTATTTTATCTATTAGCTATTATATATGTCTTTTTTTCTTGTTAGGGTTAGCTTTTGTTGTGTTGATTTCAGATTTCTTTGTAGAGTTGTTCTCCTTCTTTTAGTATTGTATCCTAGGAGGTGATGGTGCTTCGGTTGTATTCTGTTTGAAGGTGGTGTTGTTTCTTCCCCTATCATCTTCCCTACGCTTTCTCCTCCACTCCTCGTAGCCTCTGGTTCACAAAAGAAAAAGAAAAAACAAATATATTTACTGAAAGAAATGGGTTATTACAAAAAAATACTTGAAAGGGAAATTACAACACACAATGCCCAAAAACTTGAAATAGCAATGAGCACGATACTAATATTCTAACTAGGGTGGATCTCGGGGTATGGTAGTGATTGGCTTTGACCCTCCGGCAAGGTAGCAAAGTGTAGGTGAAGGCTGGAAGGCATGGTGAAAATGAAGGATGCAGAATGCAGCAGTGAAGAGGAGGTACGACAAGGGCAGCAAGATGGAAGGAGAGGAATGGATGGCTAGGTGGCTGGAACAACAAAAACAACAGGAAAAGATTGTTTTTGGGTGGCTGCAATGAGAGGGAATGTCGGTTGAAGCGAAAGGAGATGCGGGGGACTGCAGGACAGCAAGAGGATTGTTGTTCGGAGTGGCGGCAGTGAAGACAAGCGGTTGGATTGAGGAAGCTGCATGGAAAACAACAAGGTGCAGTTGTTTGAGGACGGTTGCAGCAATGGAGGGCGGTCGGAAGCAATGTGGAGAATGTGGAAAGGAATGGAGAAGGTAAACATCACCCCGGGGAAGAGATATAGCCAGGGCACCACTCATTCCCTCGAATGCAGCCTTCGAAAAGAGAAGCAGATGTCGTCGGTTGTCCTAGACAAACATGCTAAAAATTGAATTTCAAACCTTAATACAATATATATATATAGTAGAGGCAAGTCATACTCCACATATACTAGAACCTATTGTGGGTACTATGGTTGGTATTCCTTCTACTTCAACTCTACCACCCTATCAGACTGATTCTTCCCGGGAGGAAGAAGAAGAATGGAGGCCGACTCTAATTCGGGAACATATTGGATGATACATTAGTTACTACTGACAATGACAATCATCTTACCAACTTATTAGCTTGCTCCTTCCCTAGAACTAGAGACAGAGGCAAAACCAAATTAGGTCGCTCTCTAGCCGCCTGATACTATGTATTTCGACACTGTTAGAGTTTTTATTTAAGTATCTATTGTATTTTCTATTTTTTCTAGTTTTGAAACTTTTTGTGATTTTTTGTTTGGGCAGGGTGTCATGCTTGGGCCCTCCCACACATTGTATCTGTATGTTTCTTTCTATTTAAAACATTAACCTTTTTGGGCTTTCAAATAAATATATATA